GAGAAAAAAAGTCAGAATTTTGAGAAAAAAAGTCAGAATTTTGAGAAAAAAAGTCAGAATTTTGAGAAAAAAAGTCAGAAGTCTGAGATTAAAGTCAGAATTCCCATACTAAACTGAAATAAAATTTAAAAAATCAGTTAACTTTTTTTTCCCAGTGGCCCTAATCCTCTTCCGTAAATTAGTCTGCTAATAATCATTCAATTTTATTTTAACTGCATGATGATCGGAGCGACAAAGAGATGATTAAAGTGCGCCTCAAATATCCTCCAAATTACCATTTCTTTTAGTATCTCAAGTGTTTATATAAAGGCATTTATCCTTTTTTTAGTTAAGAAAACACTAAATTACATGATTTATTTTAAGAGGTGTTTTATAAAGATGTGGCCATGGACAGAGCCAAGCCACAGAAAGTCGCTGCTGAGAAAGCTAGCTATTCATTGAGTAGCGTATGCATGCAATTAAATGGAAAGTTAAGTGGAAGGATAAACTGTTACAAAAAGAAGAATTGGGATAAATCCAACTTTAAAAGGATTATAACCAATTTAAACTCTTTGGGGAGATTTGTAAGGCTTCCCAATTCTGATCCTTATTAGCGCCCCCTGCAACAGTCACATGAGTGAAGCCACTCCTGACTTTCAGGAGTGTTTTCTGTCCTTACCTGGGCTAAGGACAACATTATTGTAATATTGCTCAGTAGTCTAAATTTCTTATTTTAAAATAAAGAAATGTTGCAGTTAATTAGAAATCAAGACCACAGAGTATAAATAGAAATGCAAAGCACAGAATTTAAACTGATTCTACTCCTGAGTGAATCTTCCACATTTCATGCAAAAGGAGCCCCAGCAAAGCACTGAGTGAATGCACTTTACATTACATGCAAACAGTTTGCTTTGCTGCTCCTTCCATTTGTTTAAATTGTGACTTTTTTGCATTAATTATTGTGTAACTTATGTAAATGGAGGAGGAAAAAATGAAATATCAGCTGTATTAACCGTTGCATTTCTTTGTTGTGGCAGAAGGTTCGCCAGCCAGTTTGGTTGTGGCCGTTTTCTCGGAAGCATCTTGCTAACCAGTTAGCATCTTGGTGCTAGTAGGTTCCCAATGGGAAATTCCATTGGGACCAAGTAGCACGTACAAACCACACCGTCAAGAAACGCTATGGAGTTTTGTGTCAGAGGTCGAGGATGAGTCTCCTCCTAGAAAGTTTCTAAATTTTGGGACAATATAGACTGATAAAGAGTACATTTATATACATGTTTAAGCCAGAATGATTTGACATTTAAATGTTATTTCCCTACGACTTTAAGGTGGTCTCTCTCAGCAAAAAAGCTTGAAATATTTGTTGAAGGACTTGATGTTGCAATCTCTGGTCTTTGCACCACTTTTACTTCTGAACTTCTTAGTAAATAGTTGCTATAAAGCAGGCCTCCCCAGAGATGCTGTCCTGCAGGTTTTAGAGGTTTCCCTGCTTCAGCACAGCTGATTTTAATGATTGCAGTTGAGCAAAAGCGAATTAATCAGCTTTCAATTAAAATCAGCTGTGCTGGAGCAAGGAAACCTCTAAAACCTGCATTACAGCAGCCCTCGAGGACGCCTGCTATAAAGCTTTAACATCAGGACACATCAGTCATGAGCTGGGACCACATAAAGCTGTTTCAAAATTCAGATCCAACATCAAAATAGTATCTAACGTTAATGAAAGTCTTGGTCGCTTTAAATCAGAGTATTCAATTACTTCACTTTTTAATATTTATGCATTTAAATAGGTAAAGAAAAATAATAAAATAGCAGAAACTCACCACACATGATCCCTAGAGCAGTGCTGAACACGGCCATGTAGCCGAAGTAGAAGGATGTTTGAAATAAGCCATACATCCTGAAATACACCAGGAGAAAATATTTCAG